CCAACCCTAGGCAATGAATCTTCAATCAAGTCTGTTTGGAAGGGGTTTTAGTGAGGTTTTTCACTGTTGCCACTAAAAGACCCAACCAGAACAATTTTACAGGAGAAAAAATTTATCTGGGGGCTTCTGGTCTCAGAGGTCTCAATCCACAGACAGCAGCCTCCATTCCTTAGGGCTCGAGGACAGGCAGAACGTCATGGCAGAAGAATATAGTTGAGGGAAGCAGCTCATACGATGATCAAGTTTATATGGTCACAAGACAAGACCTATGTCTAGCTAAGCCAAATTTACATTGGCAAGGGAATGTATCTGTAAGTTACATCAAGCCTTTGGGGAATTAAATCAAAAGAGGCAAAACAATAAAGTATATATGAACCAGGCAAATCCCCTAGGTTGACATAAATAAGACTTGTCAATTTATTCTAATCTTCGTAAGAGTTCCACAGTTCGCTCTCTGACAGCTGCACAACAAAGATTTAAAACTCTAACTAGGAAGGAGGAGGTGGTTACCATCTGTGGCCATTACCTGATCCCTCAGACTTCAACTGTCAGGAATAACTCCATGAGGTATGTAATTTTCTTGCTTGTTTTCAATTCTTAAAAATAGATTATTACAGGGTATTCAAACATACAAGAGAGATTGCAGCAAATAATATAATATACATCCATGTACTCATTGCTGATATTTGACAGGTGTTAACATTTGCCATTGTCTTTAGATGTTATAAAAATAAAACTTTGCAGATACTCTCAAGCCCCTGCATCATCCCATGGTGTCCTTATTGTTTTAATTTGCATTTCACAAGGCATGTCTTTGCAAAACTAGACCACCTGTGCATCTAAAACTTTATCCATATTTAGGAAGATGTCAAGTAGATATCGTCTTCCAAACATATTTGGTTAGTGGAATTAAATCATGATGCTACCCAACCAATACAATCCCGGTGGTTCCTTTCTGATGCCTAGGAATCCAGATTTCATTTAACTACCCAAACCATCAGGACTACACTTTTCTCCCTATATTCCATTTTACGATTAAATGGATCTTGCCAGTCACAAGTGATATACATAATTCTAGGAGATAGCATTTGAGGCAATCCTCAAGACCAGCCTTTTGGGAAGGACATGGTTTAAAACTAGCAATGTGTCAGCCCAGTTCCCAGCCCCAGGTTTCTGCTCAGCATGTTAGACCCTTCTTCTTATCCCTCCTGATGCTTTTTGACTCAGGGAAGGGAAACTGGGTGGGTAATATTAAGATTCACTCTTGACTTTGAAGGCCAAGGTGCTCTGTCCATATCCTTCCTCCTTCCTGGGTCCTCTGGGCGAGTGCTCCAGGCCAGTCCTCTGCCTCATTCCTGGTTTGTGCATCCAATGAAGACACATTGCTCTACGTCTCTCAACTAGTTGTTTCTCAACTAGAGTTTTACCTTCTCACTTCCCTCTCCTGCTCTGAATACTACTTCTTAAAACCCAAGTCCTGGCTAGAGTCCTAGTGTGATGGTAAGAGCAAATGTGACTCCCTTGTTGTTTTATGACTTCATCCTGTAAAACAACCATGCCAAGTAGAAGGGTCATGACTGGGGCAAGATGCTCTTTTCCTTTTGCTATAGAAATCTGTAAGGACACAGAACTACCCAATGGGGTATTGTTTCTGTAACTAGGGTAAGGGGGCTCTGTTTCTGTAACTGGGGTGACTGGGCTAACTGTGATTGGTTTGGCTTCCCTCCACTTGACCACACTGTCCTGCTTCTGTAACCTGGCTTGCTTGCATTGGCTAGACTCCCAAACATCCCTTTTGTGGTTTTCAGGCTTATAAGGAGAGCCCTTGCAATTGTTCGGGGCTGATCAGGGGAACAGCTTTATGTTCTGGTCAGCTGCCACCGGTGTGCTTCAATAAAGGCTTGATTCGATTATATGTGAGTGGTCTGGAAGTCAGTGTATGAAACCCCGGGAGGAAGCTTTAACTATAACACTAGTACAAACCTTTCCCAGAAAGAGAACTTGAATTTCTACAAGCTTACCTGGGGATGGGGACTTAAGCTTTCCCATGATATAAGCAGACAATAAAGGGTATTCTTCTACTATCTTTGTGATATACTATTCTAATAAGTCCTGATTTGGGAGAACCAACATCTGTTTAAAAACCTGAAAGCAAAGCTTTCCTCTTTTTTGCATCTACTAATCCAACTGGACTTTAAATTGTCATTTCCTTAGGCCAGCCTGACAAAAGAACTACCCTGTCTACCTCTGATCATTTTTTTAATATCTTTATTTTATTTTCATGCGGTGCTGAGGATCGAACCCAGGGCCCTGCACATGCCAGACAAGTGCTCTACCACTGAGCCACAATCCCAGCCCCTCCCATAATAATTTTTAATATCATTTATAAAATCTTTCCCTCCAACTCAACACAATGGCACATACTTTAAAAAGAAAGCAACGTTTTATCTCGGGAGACCTCACACTTGAAGTAAACTCATCCTACAGTCCTTGATCTATAAAGAGAAATGGCACCTCCAGCTCCCTTGGTACTGAGCCTTGCTCAATCCAAAGAGGATGAGAGAAACAAATTTCTGGAAGACAGTGATTGATTAAGGAGGCAAGGAATATTCACATTAGGATGATGACTTTTCCCAACTCACCTGGGAAGGTTCCAATTTTATCATTGCATGTGTCCCGCTAGGTCTGAGCAAATCCAGACAGCTGATCATCCTACTGCACATATAGGAGGGGATTTTAAGATCTAACCAAAGGTGTTGGTAAATAAAAGCTCCTCGAAATTGGGCAAGTTTTACAAAATCCAAGTTCTCTGGAGTGAATTAAGGTTCATGTTGAGAAGTAAACAATGATTTCACACTGTGAAGACAAAAGCATATTTTCTATTTGATATGTGTTCAACAGGAAGAGGAAGAGGAAGAGGAGGAGGAAGAGGAGGAGGAGGAGAAAGAGGAGGAGGAAGAGGAGAGGGGGGAGTGGGGCAGGGGAGGAGGAAGAGTAAGAAGGCAAGAAGAGGAGGAGGAGGAGGAGGAGAAGGAGGAGCAGAAGGAGGAGAAGGAGGAGGAGAAAGAAGAGGAGGAGGAGGAAGAAGAAGAGGAGAGGTTGGGGGAGGGGAGGAGGAAGAAGAGGAGGAGAAGGTGGGGAAGGAGAGGAGAAAGAAAAAGAAGAGGAAGAGGAGGAGGAGTAGAAAGAAGAAGGAGCAGCTTGATTCCTGTGGCAGCTTCCTGGAGACTTCTATTTTAACATTGCCACATCAACAGTACTTTTGGTTAAGTTTATCAGCACCAAAATAACATAATAAAATTCATGCCATTATTGCTTGCTGAGAAAATAGACCGGTGATCCTACTCAAAGGAAATTGAAGTTGGTTCTGCCTGATTCTAAGTGACCTTCCTCTGATTCCCAGTGATCTCCAGTTTCCTTACCAAGGCTCACAATTTGAAAGTCATAAATATGATTCCATGTAATAAGTAAGGAGCACGTCTCTATTTTGAGAAAGCCACATTTCTCCCATTTTTAAAAACAGGGCATGGTGGGACAGACCTGTTAATCCCAGCCATTGGGGAGGCTGAAGCAGGAGGATCTTGAGTTCAAGGTCAGACTGGGCAACTTAGCAAAAAATTTTTTTGAAATTTTGAAATTAAAAAAAAATAAAATAAAAAGGGCTGGGGACGGTCAATGATAGAGTGCCCTTGGGTTCAAGTAGGCCAGTTTTTGCCTGGACTTTCTGTCACAATTTTCCCATCCCTTTCAAGGAAAGCACTGAGTCTGCCCGTCCGTGTTGTTGTGTTGTTTTGGAGGCCACAGTTTGTAAAGCACAGGTGTCCTGGATTCCTTAAGACTGGCAGGGAGTTCTCTAATGAGATTTCTTCCTCTCTGGGGCTTTAGAAGTCTCATATCCCCGGTTAGTCTAGCCTCCCTTATTTGAAGGTAATTTTCCTAATGGAGAAGAGAGGAACAAAATAGAAGCTGAACATAATTTCCCTGTTATCTGTAATGTAATAGCGCTTCTCCCCATGTCGCCTGATTAAATGTAATTAAAACAAACTTTGAGTTCATTTGAATGACTTTGATATTTCTGGCTAAATGTTTTCATTTTTCAGCTCTCTTAAAACATAGACTTAGATTGGTCCCAGAAATTGGACAAAGAAAAATGAAAGGGGGTTATTAAGGAAATGGAAGAAATTACTCATGAAATTTTAAGCAAATTTATTCTTTGTAGACTGATATTGATTGTGTGTATATATATCAAGTCAAAACAAATATTTAAAGATGAAAAATTCAGTTAATCAACAGAATGCTTTCCCCTTGTATGTTCTGCACGTTGCTGGGTTGAATGATTTGGGTTGGTACTCAGGGAAAACTCTCTGGACTTACCAGCTATCTATAGATTCACCATCTTAACTGGTCACCTCTTCCCACTGCTGCTCAGATACTCCAGAGACAACAGATCAAGCTGCCAAAAGAGGTCTTACTTGAGAAACCATGTTCATATTTTCCTGTTTCCCGTGTAGTTCTCTAATGGCCAATAGCTGCATTCATTTCCCAGTTAATTTAGTTCAACTAACGAGGTTGGGCATTGAATACAGTTGAGGACCTGTCTTTGGTATTAGAGCAAATGATGTTGAACAGAACAGGCTCCCAAATGTTGAGATCCTTATATTCCTGTCAGGGAATGAGGACATGTACACAGATGGTTTATGATAGAGTAGAAAGTAGGTAGTTCCATAAGACAAGGCTCAAGTGAAAGGAGGGATTAATTCGCCTTGGGAATCAGGAAGTTCCCACGATTTGTGTTGACCTTGTCTGAGGTTGCTCAGTAGAATATTGACAGTGGTAAAGGAGAGCGGAGGGCATGTTTGATAGGATGCCAAGTGTGTCTGAAGTATAGCAGGAAGCTTCCGAGTATATTTGAATACATTGAGGTTAGTGTGTTGAAACCTCCTAGGGACAGAACTTAAGGATGGTTTGGGCTCATTGCCATCACCAATAACTTTCCACAGATGTGCTTACAGGTCACTTGCAGCAGAACCACCTGGGGGCTCCCGGTTACTCATGAAAAGTCTCAAGCCACCCTCCTGCCTTGCCCCGTGAACTCCAGTCGGCATTTTTAACAAGATCCCAGGTGATTTGCAGGCACAGGACAGCTGGAAAGGTATTTCCTTAGATATCAACTGTATCATCTTTAGTTTATTATCCTTGGGGGCCATGTGGAAATGATGCTATTTTATTTCTTTTGGTAGTCATTTCTCAATCTTCAAAGCACACACTTAAAATCTGCAAGTTTCGACTTCCATAATGCAACACCAGAGTTCTCCCCTTTCACCTTGTGCAGACACAACTAGAAGTTTCCACCTGAGAGTCAAGAAATGCCGCCCCCCCGCTCCCAGTCCCTGAACCTGATGTCACCTGATCTTGGACTTCTCAGCTTCGGAAACTGTGAGAAATCAATGTCCCTTGTTTAGAGGCCACCCCGTCTAAGGCACTTTGTCATAGCAGCCTGAAGGGACTGAGACACATCTCCTTGGCAGGTTCTTTATCACTCTCCTGTTTTCGGCTTTACAACTCAACTCTTCTCTCCCTAGCTTACCACCTTCCTGAGCCTATTTTTTAAACCTTTATTTTATTTATTTTTATGTGGTGCTGAGGATCGAACCCAGCATCTCGCACGTGGTAGGCAAGCGCTCTACGGCTGAGTCACAACCCCAGCCCCCTGAGTCTATTTTTAAGGACAAGTTTGAGGTCACATACTTCCTAAATTGGTGTGGCATTGCTCCTTTCACTTGGAAATAGCACTTTTATAGGTAAGGATCTTGAGGATCGATCTTTTCCTTTTGAAAATTTCTAAACATTTCCTATTGTTTTCAGGCATCAAAGATGGAAGAAACCTGTGAAGTTGGCCTTATTTCTTTGTAAGTCAGTCACTTGTTCATTTCATCTAAATGATGGTAGGATTCCATATTTCTGAACTAATCTGTCAACAGAATATGGTTAGCATGTGACTCTGTTTGCATGTACTATATAACAAGAATATAACTGGTTTGTTTCTTTTTGTTATTTTTTGCCTAAGAATTAGAGAATGCTTTGGATGCATAAGTTCAAATCTTTCCTAAACTCCAGAAACTTTTTTTCATATATCTTTGAAAATATTTTTGCTTATTTTATTTTGTCTCTAAGGAATGCTAACTGTCCTATATTATCAAATTTCCACTGTCTACTCTTCATCTCTCCTACTTCTGATTATGTATCTCCTTGTTCTCCTGCTCTGCATGGTGGGCAATTTTTATCAAAACCATCTTCATCATACAATTCAATTTTTGGAGCTCTGATTATTCTTTTTCTTGCTTCTCATTGCTGCTATAAACTCTAAAGTAAAATTTTGTCTCTCCTACCTTCTTCTTTAAATATCCCATAACACATTTCTTTTTTTTTAACTTTATTTATTTTTTTAAATTTTTTTTTTAGTTGTAGATGGACATATAATACCTTATTTATTTTTTTGTGTGCTGAGAATCAAACCCAGTGCCTCATATATGCAAGGCAAGCACTTTGCCACTGAGGTACAATCCCAGCCTCAACACATTTCTTTTTAACGTATTATCTTATCATCTTATTTTCACTAAGTCTACTTTTTGAAAAAAATTCTAGTGCCAATATTTTTTCATTCCTTATGGTAGACGTGGCTCTGACTCTGCATATATTACTTATGAGGCTTGTTTTTTTAAAATGTTTTTAAAATTTGCTTTAATTGGTTATACATGACAGTAGAATGCATTTGTGCACTTTGATCTATCATACATAGATGGGATATAATTTCTCATTTTTCTGAGTGTACATATTGCAGAATCATATTGGTCATGCAGTCACATATAAACATACAGTAATAATGTCTGTTTCATTCTACTATCTTTCCTACCCCCATGTCCCCTCCCCTCCCCTTCCATCACTTCCCTCTGCCTAATCTAAGGTAATGCTATTCTTCCCTAGTGCCCCCCCCCACTTTATTGTGAATGGCTTGTTAATCTCCTTCTTTAATGTTTTACATACTAAAGTAAGTTACATGTTATTTTTATTTGCTCTGCTATTAACTATTCCCTCAGTTTGTTCAGATCAATGAAGACGAGTCATTTCCACTGAGCTGAATGGTGGGTGCTCTGGTGGACTCTTTCCTACTTACTGTGCCCTGTTGGTCTAGATCGCTAGCTGGGTTATTCTGCGTCCTGAGAGAGGTAGGAAAGGGAGCTGCGGCCATGGCAGTCTCAGTCTCAAGGCAGGAGAACTCATTTGTATGTTCTATTTTCTTTGTGTCCACGGCATCTAGGAACAACCTTCCTCTATAAGCTTTTCTATGTAGACATGATCTACGGTGCATAAACCATGAAACTGTCTCCTTCCTGTTCCTCAGAGACTAGCGTTGTCCCTCTGATTTGAAAATACTACTTGAATGGAAAGTGATCCAGTTCCTTTAACTAAAAACTCTGCTTTCTACAGTCTTTCCAGTTCAAGGTGGAGGAAAAGTTGTCCATAGAGTAATCCCCAAAGATCTGGTTGGTTCTTTCTTCCAACCTTGCCTGACACAATAAAGAGTGTTTCTCTGCTTTCTCTCTTGCTTATCACCAACACTTGGGTAAAAAAAAAGCCAGGGACATGCTAGAGAAAATCTGTACCATGAGCTTCCTTTGCAACCCACCCATATGGCCTTGGGGTGCTATTAACGCAGTGGGACAGCCACAGTTCTCCAGTAACCTCTTCATGACCTCAAAGGAAGGGATAACACTTGAACTTGACAGAGGTTCTTCTCACAAGGCTGTGCCATCATCTCAGGAATAAGACTCATCTGCTGATACCCTCATGTCTTCCTTGAGTTTATCAAGGACTGCTCTTTATCCAGAAGTAATTGTGCTCTGTCTATGGTTGTTTGATTCCAAAGGGACTCTTGGTACCATTCTCTTGATCCTTCTCTGAAGAGAGTTTGGGAGTTTTCCTTTTATTGATATATCCACCTGATCATTTTGGTCAGTTTCTGGAACAGAGGGTTGGATGCTCATTTTTTAATGCAGTCCCACAATTCGTAAATATTTCCTGAGTGCTTAATAGTTCCTGATTGCAATGAACTGGACTTAAGCTATTTTCTCTCAGCTCCAAACACATGCTTTGTGACTCTTGGCCTAGGATTATACAACCCATGGCCCTGACATTGGGCTCCCACTAGCCTGGGCCAACAATGGCTGCTAGAAAGAGCCTACAAGAAGGACATAAATGTATCCTGTTGGCTGTTGTATCTGTAAGCACAGCCACTAACCATCTTTACCCAACATTACTGGTTAGTTCCAGTTGCCACCACATTCCCCAAACTACCCTTATCATACTCCCCACTTTCTTCCCTCCTTCCCTCCAACCCAAAGATAACAGCTCCCATTAGTTAGCATCCCCATAGTTTTGGGTCTCCTCCTCTCAGCTCCATGGGGCCATATCAAAACCAGGCAGGCTGCTCTGGGTCCCAGCTTGGTAGAACTCTTCCTGCAGGCGTTGAGGTTCTAGTACCTCCAAACTCTTTCTTCATTTCCCATCCAGAGGGGGTATTAACTGACTCCTGTTGTTTCTATACTTATTAACACCACACTATTGCCATCTTTACCTTTTCAATCCTCCAATGTCTGTTTACCCAATGCTTTCTACTAAATGCCTTCTATTGAAATTACTGGTGTTGGTTGTCTTTCTGACTGGATCATAACTGATGCAAAGGCAGAACAAGCCCTCACAGAATTTGACCATGCCCTGAAGGTACAGAAGAGGAAAATCTAAACTGGTTGATAGGTAAGAGTTCATCAGGGGAGTGGAGAGAGGAAGAAAGCGTGTTCTAGTAAAGTTCTAAGACAAGAGAGAACAGGGCACTTCTGAGTCCAAAGGGGAAGAAAAACATAGATACTTGAGACCCAGGGATAAGAGAGAATATGGTGGAATTGGACGTCTACACCATGCTGTTAAGGGCACTCAAAGCAAGATTTTTGGTGGCAGGTGATACTCCGAAAGATAAAAATAATACCAGCCCTCAATTGCTGAGAGCCACAGCCGAGTCGGAATGGCAGCTGGCATTTTGCCAATAGTATTGGTTGAGAGGCAAGCCATTAAGATGATGCTGGATTGATTCGGTTGTATATTAGACCTTTACTGTCCACCTCGGCCTGCTACTTTGGAGTTCTCGTGGGGATTCCCGGAGAGTTCCCATTGGTTGGGGAAGTGCGGGAGGAGGGATTTCCGGAAGACGGATTTTCCGGTTGTTGGTTCCTGGAGGAGCCGCATGGCGTTTGGGAGAGTTCATGGCGTTTGGGAGAGTTCCCGGGGAGCGTGTGTGGAGTGTGCTGGTGGAGTTCAGAAATAAAGTTTGTTCCTGCTTCAGTGGCTCGTGATTTGTGCCCAGCCAGACTGCGGCATTCAATAACCTCATTATAACCCATTTAAGAAGTTCAAGGGCAACGTGGAGTCACTGGGGATATATCAGGCAAACAAAGGAATCAATGATTCATTCAATTAATATTTTTATTGACATAAAATAATTTTATGTACTTAAGGGGTATAGTGTGTTCCTTCAATATATAGGTGCAATGTGTAATAATTAAATTGGGGCCATTGAGATTCCCCTTTCCTTAAACAACTATCATTTCCATGTCAGTTCTTTAATGTTGGGAACATTTAGACTCCTCCCTTCCAGTTCTTTCTAAAATGTATAAAAAATGTTTTTACCTACTCTCCTGTAGAACATTAGAACTTATTCTTCCTATGAAACTATGAAACTGTATTTTGGCACATTATCCAACCTCCTTTTAACACCTCCACCAAAAAAAAAAATAATATTTCTTGATCTATGTTAGGAATGGTTAGGGATACATAATACCTATATCAAGGAAGAGATGATACTCCAACATCTGGATATCTTTGTGGTGAGTTGGTACCATCCACTGCACCAACAGTATCTGATGACAGACAGAGACCTCTTTTATAATTTATTCCTATTTCTATCAATTCTGTAGCCCATCAAATGCTCCCTATGATTCAGCAAATTCTTATGAAGATACTCTTTTCTCTTTTCAAAGTTTTTGTTTTACCCTTGAATGTTGTCTTTGCTCTTCACCATATTAAATGAGAATTAGAACATTTTTTTCAGTAATTTATTCTCAAAGTCTTTATTGAGAAAAGGAAGACCTTATCAATGATTATGTACATGGCGGGTTTGCATCATCCTCACCAAAACAAAGAACTTAAAAGTCCCTGATAAGTATTTGAGTTCTATTAAATCTCAGATAAGATACATTTGGAGACACAACTTGAAAGGAATCTTTATGTATAATACTTCCCCTTCTTTTCTCCCCTTCTCTCTACACAATGTCCAATTTTGTACCCCTTCTTCAAAGGATAAAAATACTCTGCCCTCTATTAATGCATATTTACTTGCATCACCCCAATTCTTGCATACCCAACCCCACGATGGTATATCCTACTCCATTTTCTGATGTTATAATGGAATACCTGAGATTGGATAAATTAAAAGGACTAGTTTATTTGGTTCATGGTTCTAGAGGCATTTCCTTGATTTGTTGTGAGAGCCTCATGATGCTTTATCTCCTGGGAGAAAGCAGGACTACAAGAGTGTCTCTACAGAAAAATCAAGGCATGAGGGGCAACCTTATTTCATAACAACCCCTTATCATGGTAACTATCCAAATGCCTCAGAGCAAGAGTTCATTCCCAAGAGAAAGGCATAAATCTCTCTTAATGACCTAATTGTCTCTCAGAGGACCGACCGATTCTCAATATCATTGCTTTGGGAATTAAAGTTACAACATATGAATTCTGGTGCGATGCATGGATCTCGAAAAAAATATAGAACCCTCCAACCAAAACAGGGATGAGTAGCAATTTTTCTTAGAAGCACCTATAGGGATGAGTAGCAATTTTTCTCCATTAATAAATAAGAATTCCAAGAGGAACAGTGAATGATGGGGACGATGGGGATTTGAAGGGCCTGAGGGGGAAACAGTTAGTCATCAGTGTGCAGTTGTGTAGGAGATCTGAAGGACAGTGAAAAGAATCCTGCTGGCAAAACAGACTCAGAAAGCATTATTATAAAAATGGTAATTGGAAACTCTATACTGTATATACTATTTTTCAATAATATTCTCCAATTTTCTCCCTAGCTTTTAAAATCCCACTTAGAAGACATGGATGGTTTTTCAATGTTCATCCCCTCTGGTTAAGCACAGCAATGGACCATAATTTTCAGCCTGTCCTACAGCCACATGTGGTCACATGACCAATTTTGTCAATGGCGTCTGAGTTAAAGTGATGAGAGCCACTCTAAGCCTCACCTCTAAACATCTTTTCAGCCTAGTTCACAGT